CGCGGGTCTCGCGTCTGTCCCGGCCTCCGGGGCTCCTGAGCGCCCGCCCTGCCGCCGGCCCGCGACGGGCGCCCCCGCCTGTGCCCCCGCAGCGACTGCACCCGCGGACGAGCGCTCACAAGCACGTGGGGGTAGGGCCGTGCGGACCTCCCTCGCCCCAGACCTTCTGGGAGAGGCCGGGGAACCGGTTTCCCAGCGCGCCGGCAGGCAGGGCTGCCCTGTGGGGTTCGGGCGCCGCGGGCGGGGCCGGCTTCAGGGCCGCGCGTCGCCGCCCGCCCGCTGGAAGGTAGACCCAGACGGTGGCCCCAGGCAACCCGGCGACGGTCTTCTTCAGCGAGGTGGGCACCCCTGCCCGCTCCTGCCCTCGGGGTTCACGCGGGCGCCTGAAGGGGTGGGCGTGGAGATGCTAGTTTGTCGGTTCTCAGAGTTGTCATTCCTTTCGCAGGGGTCACAGGGAAGAAGCAATGCACCTCTCTCTAAACTTAGGCTCCTCAGCTCCTAAAAGGTGTTTTGTTTTGTTGAAGTAAACTCTACCCCCAGGTCGGCTCGAACTCAGGACAAGGAGATCGAGAGTTGTTGGGTGCTCTACCGACTGAGCCAGCCAGGCACCCCTCTAAAAGGCTTTTGATTGCTTGCTTACTAGAAACAACTTAGAGTTTTTAAAAGTGAATACATGAATGAAAGGCATATGTGGGCATAGATTTGGTACATGAGTGGAATTTTCTAGGTAAATCCGTATGTACAGTAACTTCAAATTTCTGAAGAATGGTATATATGTACAAAACTTATCAAATTGCTGTCACCTCTGGTAAATTCATTTTATCCTCAAAAATAGCCCTTTTGCAGATAAACGTTATTAGGTAAAGTTGAATAAGATAACTGAAAGTATGAAAATAGTTGGCCATTTTAAAAGAAGTAGAATTCAAACTGTATTCTTTTTTTTAAAGATTTTTATTATTTATTTATTTACTTATTTGGGAGAGAGAGAGTGAGTGGGGGGGGGAGGAGCAGAGGGAGAGGGACAAGTAGACTCCATGGTCAGTATGGAACCAGAGGTAAGGGCTGGATCCCACCACCTTGAGATCCTGAGCCGAGCCAAGCCAAGAGTGGGCTGCTTAACCGACTGAGCCACCCAGGCGCCCCCAAATTATATTCTTAACGTTAAGGTCTTACTGTCCATATACATTATTGCTATGATTTAGGCTTTATCTCAGGCTTTTCCCCCCTCTAAGGTCTCAGCGTCATTAAAAGCACAACTTTTATTTTGTTGAGCAGGGCTATGGAAGATATGAGAGTCAGGCCAAATCCAAATCTGTGGTATCCTGGAAAACAACTGATCCTATCACCCTTTAGAAATAAATAGCACATGTGGACTTGTCGCTTGTCATTTCTCTTTTTTTAAGTAAGGTGCTATACAAGAAAACCGAGTTAGCTTTTCTTTTTTTGGATCTTGAATAACTGGAAGTTTGCTGCACTCAGTTTGTTAGATGGGGAAAGTCATTCAAAGTTTGAATCAATGTCAGTGGTTGTCCTATGAAGGAGTGAAAGTGGGAAAAACCCTGGTTAGTTTCCTCCTTCCTGTTTCCTCTACCCTGGCTCCACTTGTCTGTGCAACTTCACATAGACTATATGACATAGTCTTCAAATTACAAAGATGTATGGGCAGGCCCTCATTTCACAGATGAGAAAACAGTAGTGAAATGACAGCTGAAAGTCATACAGCTCTTGGATGGGAGTCATACAGCTCTTGAGAAGCCCATGCTGGGGGTCCTTGCTGGGTGTTCTGTGAGCACCCTTGTGCTGTTTGAGTTTTCCATCTTCGAGCGTAAGGGAGGAAGGAGTTAGTTCAGACCAGCTGGGAATCAACAGCCTTAGAATAGCATGCATATTATTCAGCGGCCTGACCTCAAGGTAGTTGCCAGCTGAGCCCCCAAGTATTCTCTGAGGACACGGGGAAGCCAGCGTCTCCTTCAAGATCTAGTAGTTAACTTTAATGCTAAAAATCCATGTTTGCTAGAAAAGGCAAAACAAACCCAAATTAAAACTGTGAAGGAGCTTGAGTATCTCATCACAGAGGTACCATGGAACTCTTCACACCTGTGAGAAGCTGAACCATTTATGCTGCTCCTAGCGGCTGTGAGAGAGGAAACTGAGAACACTAAGTGCCCGGTGAATAAAGCAGGCAAACAACATCCATGCCTGGGCCACCATGACAGTTCCCTGCTGCCCTTCCTGGGGCGGGGGGGCGAGGTTTTCTCGATATCTGGTCTCCCCTCAGCTTATCTACAGTACCTAGATGAGGCTTCTGCCCCTCAGAGGCGTTATGTCATGCACCTTCAAGTCAGCATTTATGTTGCTGCAAAAATTTGCTGGTCTTCATTCTGAAATTTCACATATGGTAGCATATCCTGAGGATGTGCTGATTCTGGGCTTACAAAGAAACTCTACTGTACTAGTGGAGTACAACAGAGCCGACTTAGAGCCAGACTGCCCAGCTTTGCCACTTTCCATCTTCATCTGTGAAACAGGGATAGGGAGGGGCTGAATCCCAAGAGTAATTGTGAAAATGAGTTAAAACACGAAAGGTGCTTAAGGTAGTGGCTGGCACAGCGTGTGTAAGCTCTTATTGTCAGGAGTACTGTGGGGTGGAGAAAAGGAACAATGTGAATTTGGCACTTTCAGGGTTTCGGTTTTTAGGCTGCACCATCATTGTTGCTAAGATTCACCCCACTCATAATGGGGAACAGAACACAAAACCTCAGGCTTCACTGGGTTCCTCCTTTTCTACCATGTTTTGTTTCTGTAAAAGTCAATCATTGGAGTCAGGGAATGTGTCAACATAAGGACATTTACTGGAACATCAGGGAGTCATTCACTTTGGTTTTTTTACTACTTCATCTCAGAACATTGGAGTCAAGTGTGCTGAGGAACCAAATCCTTCCTGTGGTTCCTGTGAAGACAGAGCTCAGCCTCTGGCAAACTCTCCTTTAGTGTAGATTTAGTTGGCCCTGCCCCTCAAGAAGCTTGTTGGGACCCAAGAGTCAAAAAATCATTACAGGATGTCAGTTCTTTGGCTGGTATAGCCTTTGAGGGTTATCTTTCAAAGCAAAATGCAAAGGTAGGAAGGGAGCCTGGGAGGGACATGACTGACTGAGTTAGAGTCAAACACTGCTTTTAATTGTTTTTGAAACTTTTCTTTTTTTTCTTTTAATTTTTTTAGATGGGGGAGGGGTAACAAGAGAGGGAGAGAGAGAATCTTAAGCAGGATCCATCCTCAGTGTGGAGCCCCACCTGGGGCTCGATCTCACGACCCTGAGATCATGACCTGAGCAGAAATTAAGAGTCCAACACTTAACCAACAGAGCCACCCAGGCACCCCCAAAAATTTTCTCTTAATATTGTGTTCCATTTGAGTTCCGGTAGTTTGAATGCTGCGGAGATTATAGGATGCACTTAGCAAGAATACTTGTAGCCTCAGTAAAGGTCCCAGCTACACAATGGATAGAGAATTTAACTATATGCTGTGTATGCAAACATTCTGGGGTACCCTGACTGTTGAGCATGCTTGTGTAAATGAAGAAACAGCTTTGCAGGGAAGAAGAAGAAGAAGAGGGGAAGCTGCAGGGGACTCCCGGGGAGCTTTACAGTCTGGCCCGTGGAAATGACAAGGTGAAGGAACTAAGAGCAGCCAAGGTATGACTAAGTGATAGTCTGAAGTTTATGAGTGTTTGCACTTAGTTTGGCGAAACAAGGTATTTGAGAGGCATGGCTAGATGGTGAGATTATTTGAGCATTGGGCACACCAAATTACTGGTCAACTTCTTAAACATAGGTGATCCTGAAAAGTCGCAGGAAGTAAGCTTTTTTGTGTATCCTGTTATATTGAAAAAAAAATTAAAAGTCTTTAAAAAAAATCAACCAAACAGAAATGCGTAAATGAGAGGAAACCCCAGTAGAATCGTCCCTCTCCCCTAACCACTGTGAACCCACTTGTGAATGCATGAATCTGGGGCTTCTTGGTAAAGGAGCCCTCTAAGAAGCTCTTGTACAGCAGGGAGCCTTTGTAACAAACCTTGTCACCTCTTTATTCCCCCGGTTTTTCTGGTCTGTAAATTTAGATTTTATTAAATTAGATCTATAAACAGGTACATTTAAAACCTGGTGGCCTTCCAGAGTGTACACGAATGTTTTCTCCTGCACCTACACTATTTTCACAGTTCTGGCACGTCGTCTGGAAATTGCCTTGTCCTTCTGTGAAGATGAAGTACGTAATTGTGTTTATTTCATGCTACTACTAAGGGGAAATGGGAAAACTGCATTGTGGTCTGATTTCTATTTCTTTTTCCTTCCTTAAGGACGGCCCCATTTTGGTTTGGTTTGGGGTGGGTAACTCTGTGAAATCTCAAAAACAGTATTTTCTTTTGAAATAAGTTGTTTGGAGAGAACCGTTTAATTTCTTCCTGTGCCTCTTTTCTCAGCCATACAGTTGGTGGTTAGGCTCTGAGGTAATAATACGTTTGCTTAGTTGGGAGAAGGCTAAACTTCTGTTAATTTTTTTTGTTTCCCTGAGATTGACCTGTAAAAAGTTAGGGTTTGTTTTGTTTTGTTGATAAAGTATCTGGAAATTACGGGATAGGGATTACACAAACTCTTAACAAAGCGTGCCTCAGCTTTTCTTCTCCTTTCACCTGAAATGAAAAGCGATACTGTATTTCCTCCAAGCTTGATTCATGAGCCTGCCCCTGCCTGGCGTCTACATTTTAACGCTGCCAGCTTTTTGCCTGTTGCCCTTTGCAGGTTCGCGAACAGCATTGTGGACCGTATCTTTGCTGCCAGGAACCAAGAGCCGGTTCGCTGAATTATCGTCGCAGTCACTAGGATTGCTGCGAGGCTCTGGGAAGGTCTGTGGGTACGTCCACGTGCCATCCCAGGGGAGGCACACCTGGAAGCCATTTTCAAGAACTTTTGTCACAGGTGTAAAAGACTCCAGGCCTGCAGAGATGCTGAAACAGATACTATCAGAGATGTACATAGATCCCGATCTGCTGGCAGAGCTCAGCGAAGAACAGAAACAGATCCTGTTCTTCAAGATGAGGGAGGAACAGATCCGCCGATGGAAAGAAAGAGAAGCAGCAATGGAAAAAAAAGAGTCCTTGCCAGTGACATCCAGTCCAAAGAAAGGTAAACTTACCTGTGTCTCTTCTGTGAATGTGTTAGTACCATGGCTCCCGGCTTGCTTTAATAGTTCACACTAGTCAGAAGCAAGTCAGGTGCAAGTTCCAGTTTGGTAGATGGACCCTAAATGTTATTGAGATTCTAATAGTTCAGTTTATCAGCTTGAAGTTTATACTTACGTGCACATACCTACACGTGCACAGCATTTACCATGAACTTGTGTAGCCGTTAAGCAGATCTCTTACTTGAAACCAGACTGACCTTAAGCTGAAGTAAAAAGTCACCTGTACAGTTTGATTTGAGGGGTCCTGAGGAAGGGCTTCTCTCCCACTTATTGTCACTGGGGTCTATACCTACTACCAGGATACGAAGGCATTGCATCGGCAATTTTATAGCAATTATGTTTCCATTTCTTAGACTTTAAGAGATTTTTCTTCGCGTTATCTTTTTTTAGGGAAACTCCCTCTTAAAATGCAAATACTGCTGTGGGGGGGGGGAGTCATACTACACATTTTTTTTAAGTAATCTCTGTGCCCAACATGGGGCTCAAACTCATGACCCCGACATCAAGAGTCGCATGCTCTACCGACTGAGCCAGCCAGGCGCCTCCATACTACACATTTTTTTAATGTGAGTTAATTTTTCAGCTGTACTTCTTCCTGACCCAAGGAATCCCTGGTTGCTTGAGAGATCCTCTTGAGACCATGAGGGAGAAATTCTTGTACATCAAGATTTAAAGCATATACACACGCAGACGTAGAAAAGCATACATTAACCACCTCTGCTCTTCGCCCTCCCCCAGCACAAATTCTGTCATGGATGAATACCTAAGTTGTTTAAAAAAAAATAGTTTTCAAGGTCACCCACAGAGGCATGCAAGACCAATTTCTCCTCATTTTTCATTAAGCCAGGAAAAATAAAATGTGATAAAACCACTCAGGGTTTCAGAGATGGAGAAAATGAATCTCACTTGCATGCTGGTATATACAGACTCAAAAAGGAAGTCAGTTTAGTGACCTTTACTTTGTACTGCCTTTGTTTAAAACCTTTCCAATTAAGCCTTTATAATGGTATGGAAATAAATATGAAGGGGCGCCTGGGTGGCTCAGTTGGTTAAGCGACTGCCTTCGGCTCAGGTCATGATCCTGGAGTCCCGGGATCGAGTCCCACATCGGGCTTCCTGCTCAGCGGGGAGTCTGCTTCTCCCTCTGACCCTCTTCCCTCTCGTGCTTTCTATCTCTCATTCTCTCTCTCTCTCTCTCAAATAAATAAATAAATAAATAAAATCTTAAAAAAATACTTAAAAAAAGAAATAAATATGAGTATCTCATTTATTACTATTATCAATAACAGCTATTTGTTAAAAACGTGTTTTGTCAGACACTATGCAAAGCACTTTTATATACAGTATGTCTCATCTTCACAGAACTTCTGCAAAGTGGTATTGTCTGTTTTATAGGTGGAGAAACTTAGAATCAGAGAAGTTAAGTAATATATGCACAGTCACACCACCAGTAGGTACCCAGATTTTTTGGATTTCATAGTACTCTATACGACCCGAAATAGAATTTTTCCTTCAGTAAGTAACATGTCCAAACTGAAGCATGGCCCTTTTATCTTTCTTAACTGGCTTATACATCCCCCTGCATTCTTGAGCCAGAGTTTATCAGATAGAGCCGGACCTCTCGGGGCACCATTATTCACTGTGAAGAGAGCACACTGATGTGTTTTTGTAACTTCGGGACTAGTGAGAGCTGAAGGGTTCTTGCCCCTAATGTCAGTGGCCCAGACACTTTGTGAGATTTTGGGGTTCTCACGTCTGCTGAAGTGGTCTCCTTGTGACTACTTAAAACAGTAATTTCATTTCTTTGCTTAAATTCTTTTTTTGCAGAGTTTGAATCTACCTCTTAGAAAATCTATACTATTTTATTAAATGATCATTTTAAAAGCATGTTAATATATGCAGTGAATGTTCTATCGGTATTTCATGCCGAAAGTTTATTACTCCCTTAAATTTAACACTTGGAAAAATACATTTTATACTAAATTAGTTCTCTCTTGTGACTACAGAAAAAGAAAAGCTTTGAGATTCTTTCCCAGCTTCCGCTAATAGCACTTCTCCATCTTTTATCTTCTTCTGCCTTTGATGATAAAGCCAAGATAGTACAAGGCAGTGTTATACCTGGTGCTCCCCAGGGGTGTATCTGTGCTGCGGGCCTACTGTGTGCTTCTGCTCTTTTGGGGCCTGTGCTCCCAGCTTCCCCCCCGCCCCCGCCCAACTTGTACCCGGCTGACTTTAGTGCTGCTTTTTCTTAGCAGTTCTTAGCCAGGCTGCAGCTTTGGAGATTGTCCTTTTCTTGGCTCTTTAAATATATCTTATGCCGTCCCTCCCCCTCATTCCTTTGCGCCATTTTCGCTCGTTACTTGGCAGTTCTTTTATTGTCATCTGGTCATTTTCTTCTCTATATAGTCCGCTGTGGTGAGTTTTCAAAGAGCGTCACTAAAATGTTAGGATATTGTGTATACCAGGAACCTTTTAGCAGTCTTATGGCTAAAGTAGAAAGGGCTGAAAAGCAATTAGAAATATGGATTTAACTTAGTAATAGATCAGAAAATCATTTCAAAATGTCATGGGAAAATGTGATTTTTAGAGAGGGAGAGAATTATGTACCTTGTCTGCCTGCTGGGGGCATATAACTGGAGGTCTAGAGCTGTGTGTCCAGGATGGTAGCCCCTAGCCACGTGTGGCTGTTGAGCACATGAAATGAGAATAGTCTGGATTGAGTGTGTTAGAAGTGTAAATTACCAGATTTCAAAGACTTGATAGGAAGAATAATGTAAAATGCCACATTAATAATTTTATATTCATTATATACTGACATGATAATCTTGGATAATGCGGGCAAAATAAAATTTATTAACATTAATTTCACCTATTTCTTTTGCTCTCATAATGGGGCTACTAGAAAATGTATAATTACAGATGTAGCTCACATTTGGACAGTGCTGCTCTAGACTATAAAAATAGCACCACTGAGCTGATGGTATATCAGACCTGAGCTCAGTGCTTAAATGTATTATCTCATTAAATAATCACAGCGAAGCCTGAAGCTGAATTACTGTTCACATTTTACAGACAGAGGGAAGTGAGACTGGGACATTAACTAGCTTGCCCAGGACAACAGCTAGTAAGTGATAGAGCTGCAATAGACCCTGAGTCTAACTCTCCCAAAGCAGGTGCTGTTAACGAATATGCTACATGTCCAGCTTACCTGGAGCTGAAGACAGTACTTTTGTCTGCAGGTGCCTTGCAGACATCTAAGACGTATGCTTGCGTCAGGGCCCTGCCTTTGTTCTGTGTGATTTCTTTCTGGTAACACAAACAGTAGAGGCCTTCACTAAGTAGAGGATTGCCCAGCACTTGTTTCATTGGGCCTCCAAGCAGACAGAAACCTAAGCAGTAGGCTGGGATCTGGTTGCTGTGTGTGGTGGAGGAGGGGCTGTGGGTGCCCTTGAAATGGACTTGGATTCATGAAACTTCATTTGCTGCATTCTCGTTGCTACCAGGTGAACAAGTTCCCTTATGCAGAGCCTTCCCTTTTTCATGAAATGACCAGAAACCTGCAGTGGCCCTTCCTCCCCTCCCTTCATGCTTGAAGTCACTGCAGTGACCTCCACTGATGGATTCAGTTCTGATCTAGTCGATTCCTCAGCCTCATCAGATTCTGGAGTTGCCTCCCTGAATCTCCTTCTTGATGTCCTGGGTCTCTTGCTTTCTCCATAATGGTCTCTTTTTTTATCTCTGCCTGACTCCTGAATGTCCATATTCCCCCAGGGAGCCTCGCTCTGCACTGGTGGCTTGTAACCTGGAGGTGGGATTGAGAGGCTCATAGACTCCTTTGAAAATTGGATTAGGAAAATGCACACAGACAACATTTTGTGTATAGTTTTACAGTGTTCACAGGCTCCCTAAATCTTGTTCACAGACTCTCAGGTTCACAACTTCTCTGTGGTTAAGGTCTAGGTCTAGGTTAAGGTCTCTGTATTTTCTCCCTGGGACACCACTTCTACCTTTTTTGTAGAGAGAGAGAGCATGAGTGGTGGCGGGCTGCGGGGGCTGGGGGTTTGCAGTGGGCAGAGGGAGAGGGTAAGAGAGAATCCCAAGCAAGCTCTATGCTCAGTTTGGAGCCGGACACAATCCTACAACCATGACCCTGAGATCACGACCTGAGCCAAAATCAAGAGTCAGACGACCAACTGACTGAGCCACCCCAGAGGCCCCCACTTCTACCTTTTAGGGTTAAATACCACCTACATGCCAGCGATGTTTAAACCCATATACTGCCAAGCCCGGCCTCTCACCTGCTCCGGCCTCAGTGTCCATTCCCTAATGAGTACCCCCAGTCAGATGACCCCTGAGCTCATCAGTGTCACCTCAGTCCTCCTCACCACCCCCAGGCCTGACCCTGCCTCTCATTCTCTGTTATAATCAGTGGCACTGCTTTTTCCCTTATCACTGCAGCCAGAAACCCGGGAGCCACATTGCTAGTCACTGAACCCTATAGATTTTACTTTATCTGTTCCTTTGCCTAGAGCTTTTCCCTCCCCAAGGTGCTGGTCTGTTAGGATGTGCCAGACGTAAGCATTATATTTATGCTATTTCATGTAAACCTCACAAGAATCTGGGATGGTACGTGTTGTCACCTTTCTTCTTACAAATAAGGAGACAAACAGAGAAAGTCATTTGCATGGTCACTGGTAGAGCCAGGATTTGAATCCAGGCCCAGATCTACTCCAAGTCTGTTCTGAATCTCTGGTTCTGGCCCTGTCTCCTGTCCCCCTAACTCGGGGCTTAGTAGTTTAGCTGGGCTTATCGTCTTCCATGGTGAGCACCCACCTGTGGGTAATTACTGATCTCTTCTTCCTGTTCACCTTCCTGAGTCCCTGGATTAAGCTGGTCTCCTCTCCTGACTCAAGTTCTCACTGGTCTACAGCACCACCTGCTT